TATATTTAAATGCCTTTTGTAGTCAGAACAAGAAGGTAAAGTTTCCGTTTCATATTGATTGTTTTCATCTGATAATTTTTGAATGGTCTTGGCAATTTTAATTTTGTTTGTTAGTGAATTGTCTATATATCCTTCAGCGACATTGGTAGACTTCCAGCCACCGTGTCTCTTCAAATTTGTGATGTTTCCACCATTATCAGCAAATATCGTCGCTGAAGTTCGACGCATGCTATGGCCTGTGTAATTTTTAGGATTGGGTAAATTTAAAAATTCTGCAATTCTTAATCCGAGATTCCCAAAACTGTGGATACCAACGGGCTGAATCGAACATTTTCCTTTTTTGTAATTCACGAATAATCTGTTATGTGGAGTATGGGATGGCCGTAAAGATAAATATTGCCTATACAACAGCAGGTTTTCTTGCCCAATTACAACAAAATTTCTCTCAATATGTGTTTTAGAATCTGGTATTTTCACGAGCAACATATCTTCTTTGTCGTTTATTAGATCAATTGACATTTTTGTTAGTTCTTCCCGTCTACACGCACCGGCTAACCCAATAATTGTTGCTACCTGAAAATGAAGCAAATTAAGTTGATACTTTTATATCCTACAATCGTAATATTTTGTTAAAATTACCTTTAGCATTAGATATGTTTCATTATCTGCTTCTCTAATGAATTTGTTGATTTGCTCGCTGCTGAAGACTTCTGATTTCTTTGCTTTATAACCAACATTCTTCCTTTTAAGAAATGCGATTACCTTTGGGAAAGTGGCTATGTTTACATTTTTCTTCACTAAAATGGTACTTTTCAACATAGAGTACATGCTCCACAGGGTAGAGGATTTGACAGTTTCAGATTTTTGCGCCAAGTAAGCTAAAATTACATCCTCTGTAATAGTTTTGCATTTCTTCATATCCATCCATCTCGTGAACAAATCATAAACGTTTTCGTACCTGGACTTTGATTTTTCAGGCAATAATTGTGCTGTAGCAGCAGCTGCTGCATTGGAAATTTCGTAAGGCACATTTTCAAACTCACTATCGCTGTTGCTTTCCATAGTTTATTGCGACAATTGCGACCAAAAACCATGCAAACTTTCGAAAATTAAAATGTCAACTAATTTCACTTCAGATAGCTGTCAGTCGTTATTTCGTTGCTATGGTAATGTTCAACTGCATTTATCAAAATCATACCTTCCAAGATTTTCATATTCACAATGACAACAACGATGTGATTCTTCCCGGCCTAGTCCGGGAAGTGCGTACTTCTCGGACTAGGCCGAAAAAATGCTACTTTCTCAAAGAAAAAGCGTCCGGGAAGTAGCCACTTCCCGGACGGTTGCCGAAAAAGTAAATTGTAAAGTAGTAACGATTATTTTCAATTGGGGTGGTAATTAGGGGGTGATTTTTACGTTTTTTGTCGCCGAAAAAAATACCGACCAACTTTATTTTCGTCGTAACTCGCTTAGGTTTGATGCTAGGGACTTTTATAAAAAATAAAAATAAAGGTTTTTTTAAGCACTTTAAAAAAGGTCCCATGAGTATTCCCTGAAAAATGCATTGGTTTTTGGTTATTTCACGTTTAAACTTTCAATTTTGGCGTTTGACGAATAAGAACCAACCTTCAACAAGCTATCACTCCGCTTGTATTGGGTCTACAGACACCATAAACACACCATTCTTTTTGTTTTTTTATAAGCTACATTTTTTATAAGAATGATTTTTTTGATAAAACACTTACTTTTTGAGTTTTTCGCGAAAAACCATCTGAAAAAGTGTTTTTTTTTTGGTTAAAAAATTTACACTTTCACTCGTGAATAAGTCGAAAAGTATTGACTTTCAGAAAAAACTTTATAGAACAAAAGTTGCTTAGAATTAGTCATTCCTGGAGTTAATTTGAATTAAACAATTTTTACCCCCGAGAAAGGGTCTCGCTCAGGGTAATACAACCCCCGGTACAAGGTCAACTTTGAAGTAGAGGGTAAGTAGAACCTAAATCCAAATTTTTATGAAAATCGGTGATGTTTGGCAAAATTATACAGGAAAATTGTCATTGACTGGACTAAAACATTGGTATATTCCTTTCAGGCTTTAGATAAAGTGGAAAATGTCCTTTTAATAATTTATGTATTTACTCGACAAACAGTCGTCACTACACTGTAATTCCGAAAAATGTAATTAGCCATAACTATCTAAATTCTATTTATTGTGTTGTTTATTTTTGTTCACTCTGTTGGTCCTACTCCAAACCTACTATCTTTAGATTGGTCTAGATCTCATTGTCTTGTAATATCTCGTCGGAATAGCTTGCGTTGTACGCCAACCGTAATACGGTCTTGCTAATTAGTTTTTATTATTTACGTTCTGTATAATTTATTAAACCTTGGAGAAACTGGTCGTTGCTACTATATGCATTACGGCTAATAGTTTTATTTTCTAATTATTACCGCGAACGTTTAACCCGTTAATATCCAACCGAAGGCGAGTGCGTTTGTTTTGTTCCTGCAGTTTTATTAAATATATCATATTTGTAAACAAATCGTGAAAGTGTTGCAAACCAGATAACATGGGGCAAAGTGTATCGACGAACCATTCCAATATTCACTCCACAAGCTCAAATAAAAAGAAAGGTAACTTAAATTTTTAATGATATTGTATAGATGTAAATATTTAATATGTCTCGATATAAGTGCTTAAAAATATGGCCATCGCTGTTGGAAGAAGCACTAAATGTAGGTCATGCACGCAAATGTAACTGAGCGGAAATATACCACAACGCTTTATCTGTTCAACTTATTGCCAGGTAGTGTGTATCATTGTACTGATAGAATGATAGTAGCTGGATCTGCCAAGGATTATCCTGTTAAAAATAAAACTCAAACAAATGCGAATGCCGTTAACAAATGCATATTTGAAAAACATGACTCGAATAAACTTCCACTATTTTTCTGTTTATATTTTGCACATTGACTTAACGTACAGGCTACTTATTACAAAGGTGTTGTGTATTTAATTTCACGCTGGTATATACTTATCAATTTTATTATTGCGGTAAAATTCTAGGAAGGTCTGATATCGCACTTATTTGTTGTTTGCTTCTTGAGATAAACCTGGTGATCTGATAAGGCATCACGTGTCTTTTTTTGCTGCAAAGTACCAGACATAATACAAGTATTATGATAGAAAATATATTTCAATTTATTTTACTTGCTTTTGAAATATTAAAAAAATTCAATGGTTTTGAACACTTCCGTCGTGTTCGTTTTTCTTTTTATTTTACACCGGTTTGTTTACAACGGAAAAGGATAACTATGACAATTATTTGCGCTACAAATGTATAAGTAACACATAATGGGAATTTTTCAAGGAGTAGGAAAAGGTACTTTACTAATTAAAATATAAACAATCCATTTAGCACACCCTGTATTTAATTTTATGTACTAGTGTGTAAATTGAAATAAGGTAGCAATGTTATTTCTTAGTTATAAATTATCCAGATTAAAGTCATATACGCATTATTGAACAATTTAATTTTTATTGAATTATTATTAAGTACTGTCAGTCAGTCAGTCAATTTGTCAGTTTCACAATTTGAAAGGCCTTGGATCTTGGCGGTAAGAATCCACAAAGCATATAAAAATTTAATGACAGCAGCTGTCATCGCTGTCACAATTATTGTTCACAGAAGAGTAAATTATTTTCGTAATTCATTTTTTAATTTTCATTTATTTAATACACAGGGTGTTCCGGTACTTCATACAAAAAAGTCGAGTACAAATAGATGAGGTCAAAATAATATCAATTTTTCCTATAATTTTTTTCCATACGGGCCTTCGTTAACAAGTTACGGGCACTCAAAGTTATTTTTATTTACAGTCTCTAAACTATTAACTTCATCATGATTCATGATGCAAATTTGGTGATTAATAACACATGTGTACAGCTCGTTTTTGATGTTGTACGTGAAACTTCATTATACCCAGAACGCCAGGGACGGACTATGCCCAATGGTTAAGAACCCAAAATTTTTGCATAGAAGACGATCGCAATCTGCCTGTATCAAGAATTTGCCAACGATAATACCCCCTTGGTTCAACTCGGTAAAATTATCAGTTTAGGAAATATTTGTGATTTTATGTCACAGTGAACATCGAGTGGCGCCTCCACCATTTTTTGTTTTTAATTTTTAATTGGACATAATTACTATGTTAGAACCGTACATATTATTAAAATAAGAGCCTAGAAAATCTTACTGTCTGCTAATGTCATTTTCACTAACAAAATTTGATAAACACACACACATAACACAAAATAGGAAAACAAAACAAGAATAAGTTAAAGCTAAAAAAATAATTTAAAAGAAAAAAAAATATCAAAATACATTTTCAATATGGGCACCTTCCACCTCCATACACTTCTTAAATTTAGAAATGTTATTTGTTTCTACGCATTTCTGGGGTATGTCTAATATTATCACAATGGAAATTAATTCTATGTAGCAATTCATCCCTTGTCGGTACTACTACGTATACTAAACTTTTCAGGTATCCCACAGGAAGAAGTCCATCGGGTTAAAGTCTGGAGAACGTGGTGGCCATGAAATTTACCCTTCTCTCCCAATCCATTTATTATTAAACACAATGCATAAATAATTTCGTACATACATTATGGAAATGAGGAGGAGCCCCATCGTGCATGAACCAAACGTTTCTTCGGTGTCTAATGGAAAATGGTCTCATAGTGGCTACAATTTTTTTTGCAAAAACTTCAAATATCGATGTCCGTTCCTCAAAAATATATGGACCTATTACATTATTACCCACTATTGCTACCCATGCATACAAGAAATGCCATTCTTAATTCCCATAACTTACATTTATTGAATGAAGAGAATCCGCACGGTACTGTGCTATCAAAAGACCATTCATTGATAATGAATATATGGGCAGGATTAGTGGGTAATAATTTAATAGGTTTAAACATTTTTGAGAAAAGTCTAAATGGACATGTTGTTTGAAGTTGAATATTTAACTTACATTAACTTATTCTTGTTTTGTTTTTCTATTTTATGTGTAAAGTTTGTTTGTCAAATTTTGTTAGTGAAAATTACATTAGCAGATAGTAAGATTTTCTAGGATCTCATGTTAAAAATATATAGTTCTAACATAGTAATTATGTCCAATAAAAAATTCAAAACAAGAAATGGTGGAGGCGCTGCTCGATGTTCACCATGACATAAAATCACAAATATTTCTTATACTATTAATTTTACCGAGTTGAACCAAGAGGGTATTATGGTCGGTAAATTCTTTAGGAAAATTATTTTTGATACAGGCAGATTGCTATCATCATTTATGCAAGAATTTTGGGTTGTTAACCATTGGGCATAGTACGTCCCTGGCGTTCTGGGCGTAATCAAGTTTCACTTATAACATCAAAAAGAAGCTGTACGCATGTGTTATCGATCACCAAATTTGCATCATGCTGAAGTTAATAGTTTAGAGACTAAATAAAAATAACTATTTAACTTTCACTTTGAGGGCCCGTAACTTATTAACGAAGGCCCGTATGAAAAAAAAAATATATGAAGAACTGATATCATTTTGACCTTATCTATGTGTACTCGACTTTTTTGTATCAAGTACCGGGACACCCTGTGTATTGTCAATTAACTTCTATTCAATATTTTTTTAATAGGTACCAAGATTTGTATGCAATGTTTTGTGTAATAATTAGAGATCGGAAATGTTAGAGCGGCTCCAGTGTGGTACAGGGTTGGCTGTAGGCCGAGTTCTTTTATGTACATAACTAGCTTTTACCCGCGGCTTCGCTCTCATTGAAGCCATTAAATTGAATTAAATTGAAGCCATTATCAGAGATCAAGGGTAAAATCACGAATTAACCACAAAAATGACACCTAACCTGAAACAATAAATATAGAAAAACTTTCGTAAAAAATATTTTTTTTAATAAAAACTATCCTATGTTACTTCTAATACCTCCAAGAATATGTGTACAAAGTTTCATGATGATCGGTTAAGTGGTTAGTTTTCGCGTGAAAGCGTAACAAACAAACTTACATTCACATTTATAATATTAGTAGAGAAGTAGAGATGTTATTGAAACAAAAAGTGACACAACCGTTGCCTTCTTATAACCGCACTCATCATAAGAACGTTTACGTTAAGTATTTGTATATTAATTTGAAACAAAATGGGGCCGCGTCAATTTTTATACAATAAAAGCTTCACATGGAAGTTATTACCATAAAATATATAGGTATAGTGCCAGCAAAAGTTAACAAATTAATAATTTCATAAGGAAAGCGGTTGTAGAAAATATTTAACAGTTAAAGAGTTGGTTTTAGAGAGAATCAACTGACCCTCTTTTGTTTTGTATTAGGATTTTTAATAAGCATAATAAGTTTATAACAGTTATTTGAGGCCTCCGTATAGTAGAACGTCTGTAAGCTTTAGAAGCCTTCATTCACTGCAGCTCGTAGGCGGGCTAGTGTATGGCAGCTTTAGAGATGTTATCTTTGGCAACTTAAGAGCTTATTTAGGTAGGTAGAGCTGTGTGAGCTTTAAGCTCGTGTGGCTATTTTTTCTGAGAGAATATAACTCAGATCTGGAATGTTCATAATTTTATGCTTTATTGTTGACTTTTTGAGCATATTACAATATGTTTGACAGTAGATATAAGTTATGTACATTTGCATATAGAATAGATGGTAAACATTTTAATCGTGTGCCGCAAGCACTGGCCCGGCACCCGTCCAAGGTAGACGTTCGATCGCTAGTGGAGGCGTGTCTCCGCTGGTTTCCCTCTCATGTTCCGGTTTAATGCGGCTCCCTGTAGCCTAGCTGGTTTTCGCGTTGAACCATTTCAGCATGTGACATTCTTCTGGGTGGCCTATATTTCTTTAACGTATTTTTAGTCCGAATTTCGTAAAATTCGGAGAGTTTTTAGTCTCCGAAATTCGGATTTAAAACGGCTTGAACGAAAAGTGAGGTGAATTTCTCCATTTCTCGCGCCTAGGATCGTTTTGTGGCTGCTCGGAGAAGATTTGAGCGCGACGGCGGCGGCGGGATATTGGAAAGCGAGGTGAAAATTTCCTTCCCGTATTACGCTCCTTAAATCGCCGTACTGGGGCTCTGGGTCCGTTGGGCCATTCTGCTCGGTTTCAGCTACGGTCGATTTGGCATGTGGCGATTTTTTTCGACTTAGTGGTCCCGTATGGAAAGTGTGGTGAATTGTCTGAACTGATAATACGATATAACATTCAAAATGTTTTGACGTAGACAAAATTATTAGATGCATAATTATAACTTCCAAAAATAATATTTAAGATAAACAAATGGTGCAAGAATGGAATAAGTGACGTGTAACCTAGGCCGTTTTTATTTTGCACTAAAAGGTGATAAGTGACAGATCGATTGCTATTAAGCTCAAATATACCATTTTTACATCTGATTAAAAAAGTACATATTTTCCAGAGTATTCAATTCAATTATCTTATTACGGCAGGTTTCTATGCATGTCTTATTAGTCAATTAGGATAGAGTATTTTAATTTTTTGTATTTAGATGAATTTTGATTTCTTTGGCATAGGTGCATAGACATTTTCAAT